GAAGAAGATGGCAACTATGATTGCCACACCACTGATGAAGCCCTGACAATCTTTAAGGAGTGAAGGGCGAGAGTGGTCCACCCACGTAGACTCCGTGAAGAGCCTCTAAACAGCCCAGCCAATAGCAGATACCCCCAGGGGTAGATGCGCAGAGGGTGCCCCAGCTATGGGAACCACCGGCAGACTGGCTATGGCTGCCGCGTCCACGATGAGGGTCTCAGGATGCCGCCTGTAAACAACTACCACCATCAAACTTGCTTGGCTCCAGAACGCTGTATCTCGAAAATGAAATGCCAAAAGTCCCTAACCTACAGGCTCAGTCCTATTAATAAACTAGCCTACTCTAGACCTAGACCTACTGGACCGGTACCGCATCAGTTTGGCCTGTTCGGCCTGGGCCCTACCCGGCTATACGGCGCCTAACCCGCCTCTACAGCCCAAGGCCCAGATGGGCCTGCTGTCCTAGTGATAGCCCGGGTCTGCTAAGGGCCATGCGGGCTAAGAGGAACTCGGGCATGCAATTTTCGTGTATATTGCATATATGTCCCTCACAAATTTCCCTCATGATTAGACCAGCATTTAGTCCCTGACACGACTATACAACCTCGCAATCAGATCTCGGCAGCAGAAATCAGCAAGTCATTGCACTTTGATTCTCTTTCTGTTTTCAAAATTCCTTTTCTCATGGCACCGATCGATTATCCTTCAAAAATAGCAAGCAAGTTCACCCAACGCACTGACGAAAGGAAAAAGGTAAGGAGCCAAAACTCTCCATCCTTTTGTCAAATAGCATTTTGTTCCGCTTTCATACATAGTTTTTTTACTCACCTGCACACCACGCAGACAACACAATCAAAAGAAGACAAGCAAAGTCCCAATACTCACGTCAGACCCACCTTTTCACTCATGCATGACACCCACAACCCCACTCAACCTTTTCTCCTGAACATTTAAAGCAAAAGGGTCAAAAAATGTGTGGGTGCACACAAGTGCGAAGGGAGTCCGAGTCGTCCACTAACTGACCTTGAGTGAAGTGGTGCAGAAGAAGCGCCCTGACTCACTCAAGAAAGCCAAGCCGTGTGTGCTGCCGAAAGCTGTAGTCTCAAGGAAAGTCCTGATCAAACCACCTCTCACTCGCACGCCTCACCCGTGGTAGCCCAAGCGTGAAGACGTCGAGCCACATCCGTCCCAGAAAAACACTCAGTCTGGTACCACGTCAGTCCCAACTGGTCCTAGTGGTCCCAGATGATCCCATGCGGTTCCAGGTGGTTCCATCCTATCAAACACTTCGTCGAATGACTATTAAGTCGAAAACTGTTTCCGCCACACTTCTAAAAAGTAAAATAAAACCGGTGCCGAATCCCAAAACCGCATGCGTCGAAACTGCCGCAAATGACCGCCCGCGTCCCACGTAAGTCCCAACTGAACCCAAACAGTCCCAAGTGGTCCAATCCCACTGCCGCAAGTAATGGGTAGTCCCAACTACAAAACATTTATCTCATATGTCGCATAAAAAAAAAATAAACCCGCCCGTCGTGCTCAAATTTCGTACTTTCGCATGACGTCAACCGCCACCATGTCACGTTGTTGTTGTCGTACACACCAATAGTAGCAGACCTTCACCAAGAAAAGAAGACGCCGCGCCGCAACAAAAAACTTTTTCTTGCCATAAAAGAAACCTCCACTGCCTCGCCGCATGTCCCACCGTCGTGTCGCAATTCCATTGTCGTCCCAAACCCTCGTTGAAAAACGGCAGCGCTTTGCCGCGCCATACTTTCGTAAAAAAAACGGCAGAGCTTTGCCACGCCGTAATACCATTAAAAAAACGGCAGCGCTTCATCGTGTCGTACTACCGTAAACAAAACGGCAGCGCTTTGCCGCGCCGTACTACCGTAAAAAAAACGGCAGCGCTTCGCCGCGCCGTACTACCGTACCAAAAAACGGCGGCGCTTCGTCGTGCCGTACCAGTGCTGCGGCGCTCGGCCGCTCGCCGTCGAAAAATTTTGGCAGCTCCTTCCCACAAAAGTAGGAAATCACCTTGCCGCAGGTCCGTCCTCCTGGTACCGCCGCCAAAAAGCGTCGTCGTCCGCCGCTCGCCGTTAAAAACGTTTGGCAGCATTCCCCCACTTAAGTGGAAAAATAGCCTGCCGCAGGTCTACTATGCCAGTACTTGCCGTTGTCCAGTCCACCGACACCTCCACTAGCATGGCCCTGACGTTCGTCGCTGCCACACAAAATCCTCCGTCAAATTAATAAAATATGGGCCCTGGACAAAATCCAGGCTCGAAGTATACTCCCGCCGTGCCACCTTGGTTCCGCAGAGTGCCGAGTGCCGCTCCACCGGACCGGCGCATCGGACCGGCGACAGCCAGAGGGAAGTGGAGCACAGTGCTCCCTACCCGGCTATGGCTGCCCTGCTCCTCTCGCGCTCCACTGCAGACCTCCAGCCTCCTCTAACGTTGCCTCTCGCAACTCCTCCAGCAGCCAAGCAACACTCGAGTGTGCTTGCCACAGTGGCAGCACGAGTGCTTTCTGTGAGGCAGCTGGGGACAGCTGCCTGTTTTATAGTGGTTGAGGGGGGCTGGACGTCACTCCAGCCCCCAGGCAAACTCGCGGGCTCACAGTGAGCCCTTGATCTGGCCAAGATCAAAGGCTAACTGTGGTAGCACGTCAGCCACAACCTTAGTGGGGCGTTTTTTCTTTAACTGCCCCATTTTCTTTTTTCTTTTCTTTATCTCAGCTATCTCGAATTTTCACGAGATACTTGAGCTTTTGCCATTTCCATAACTGTTTTTCTTTCATTTTTCTGATAAGGGGTTGGAGAGATACAACCCCGTTCAGTTTGATGTATCTGGACACATTTTCTAGGGCAGATACATTGGGAAAAGGCTGTAGACCCCTCAATTTTCAGGCTCCCTCTAAAAACGGGAGCCTGACAGTTACCTCGAGCAGCTTCTACAAGAGGTAACACCTCGTGAGGACAAGTGTGTCCTTACGAGAATGCGCAAGAAAAAAACAAAGAAAATAAACAAAAGAAAAATAAAACTAACTTCAACTATAACGCGCCTGGCCCTTACCTTGGCCAGGTTCATGCTATTGAAACCAACAACCCTCCCCTGAAAACGGGGGAGGGCAGTTGCCGGTTGGGAGAGAGAGGGAAACAACTCGTGAAAAATCACGAGTTCAAATCCCGAGAGGCTGGGAGCCGGGTGCAAAAAGTACCCCGACTTTGATGATTTTTAGAAAAATATTCGCCCAATAAGAAAATCTAGAAAAAATCACGCGCATGGCTTAGGTGCCTCGCTACCTACAGAAAAAATTTGGAGCCGACAAAATTGTTTAACGCCACAAAAAAAATATTGGCGCAAATCAAAAAATACAGATTTTATTAAAAAAAATTGATCCCGTTTCTCTTTTTTTTTTTTTTTTTCCTTTTCTTTTTCTTCTTCCCCCCTGACAACGGGAAGGCAGCTGGCAGGTCACGAGGAGTAGGTCTTCCTCTCTCTCATCCTCCCATTTCTCTCTCTCTCTCTTTACTTTTTTTACGTTCTACGAAAACATCGTGAGGTGCGAGATCCAAGATCTTGCGGCCATAGATATTCGCCTCAAAACGAAGTGGGAGCTGTTATGCTCCCACACAGCCAAAATGACTGTTCTTTTCCTAACCTTGAGGCAACCTGCCTCATTTTCTTTTTCCTTTTTTACCCCGTTGGCCTTGGCCAATGGTCACATCGGGGTACAACCCCGTGACCTGTTGAAATACAGACCCAAGTTTGATCCCCTTCGGGGATCGAAATGATTTCGGACTGTTTCTCGATTTATGCATGACGTGCTTGCACAAGGGCCATGCAAATCTGGCGCGGCCAATCTCGGCCGCACGATCTACGTGATCATAGCTGGCCAGTGGGGTAGTGAAGAAGACAGCGGCCATAGCTGGCCAGTGAAGAAGACAGCGGCCATTACTGGCCGGTGGGGTAGACGTCAGCCGCCATAGCTAGCAGGAGGAAGACGACGGCGGCCATAGCCGCCCAGCTGTTGGTCAAGACAAGTGTTCAGAGTGTATGAGGCTGTGCTGAGTGGGGACATTCAGGGTGGTTCTCGTACGTGCACGCATGAGACAATGAGGGAGAGAGTGAGGCTGGTGGTAGAGATAGTGTTTGGCGGCCATAGCCGCAAGTTGGGCAATTGAGTTCAAGACGAATTCATTGTTGTTTTTGAGTTGAAAGAGTTCAGTTTTGCCATCGGTTCTCAAGTGTGCATGTTGTGAGCAGGTCCAGAGTTGAGTCTGAATGTACTGGTATCGGAGCTGATACCCGTTGTCCACGCCGGCGGAGCTGCAGCACACAAGGAAGAAGGAAGAAGCCGCCATAGCCGAAGCTTGACAAGGAGAGAGAGATAGTAAGAGAGAGAGAGAGGAAGAGAGAGGAAGGGGGACGGTAGCCATAGCTGCCGACTTCGGGGAAGAATACCAACATCAAAAAGGGAGAAAGAAGAGACGCAGAGAGAAGAAAGGAAGAAGACAGTGACGAAGAGGAAGACAAGATCAGCCATAGCTGAGGTGAAGGAGGAGGTCCACCATAGCCGGAAGGTCAAAAGGTTGACTGGGAGAGTTGACCAGATGCGGACCGAGGTTGACCACGGGTGTTGACCAGGCATTCACCAGCGTTGACCGGGCTGTCCAGGGCGTTGACTGAGCGTTGACCGGAGCTGCCTAGCGCATTGACCAGGAGCGTTGACCGGCGAAGTTGACCAAGATCGTTGACCGGAGCGTTGACCCAACTCGAGCAAGAAGACAAACGGTACTATCTTTCCAAGCCTGGCCTGTCCCTTACCCCGTGAGTGTGTACCTTCACCCCGATACTTGCTGGCATAGAGTCTGTTAAGGACAGTCAGTCCTATCTCCCTGTCACTACTGTCTAGGGTGTTAGGACTCTGTGTGTGTGGTCATAGAACCATGAGCTCAGTTCGAGTAGTGAACCAAGTCCCCGAAGTAGAAGTAACCTGTTCGGTCCAAGTGTTGAAGTGTGGAATTGTTGTTAATTGTACGCTATCAACATGGTGACCCTTAGATCCGGAACCATTACCACCCCCTACAGCAAAGAGCAGGAGGAGAGAGCTGCCGCCCTTCTGCGTGAGAAGAAAGAGAAGATGGAGAAGAGGGAACTAATCAAACAGGCTAAGATGTTGGCAGTGCTGGAGGAGCAGGAAGCAAAGAAGAGGCAGACGGAGGAGGAGATGGAAAGATGGAAGGAGCACGAGGAGAAGATGACAGCTGTTCAGGCCGAAGAAGAAGAAGAAGAAAAAGAAGAAGTGGAGGAGGAAGAAAAAAGACCGCTAGAGAGGAGAAGAGGAGGAGGAAGCACAAGTAAAGACGCGAAGATTGCGAAAAGAGCGCAGGAATGGGCCGCGCATTTGGAGTTAGGGGAAGACCGGGAGGCTGAGATGACTGTACCTGAGGAAGAAAGAGAAGCGGCCAGGAGGCAAATTGAAGCAGAGAGGGATCCAGTAAAGAGAAGGGCGAAGGAGGAGGAACAACGGATGGCGTGGAGATACCGGTTATCCCAAGAAAAGGTAAAGCGATTGGAAGTGGCAGAGAGGGTGGACAAGGACCTAAGAGCGACGGAAGTTAGGATGGGGAAGATCCGAGCGGAGACTGAGCTAGCAACCAAGCTATATACGCTGATCCAAAGTGTAGAGGCTTAATTAGTCGCACAACAGGAACAAATGCAGTACGAACGCAGTCAATACATCAAGATAGACGTGATACGGGCGGGGTTCAAGGACTTCGCATGCGACATGATGAAACACCTGCTGACCACGTGCACATTGCGACTAATGAGAGTTTTGTACTGGCGCCATTGAAGGCGCCAAGCTAGCGGCCCCTAAGGAAGAGGCGTCGGCCCCACCACATCGCGAGAAAGTCAAGGTCCGATTTCCCGAACCCTTCAGTGGAAAGAAGGGTGAAGATTTTGATAACTGGGAGGCCAACGTGCATTCCTATTTGTATCTGCAGGGAGTCACGCTTGAAGACCACACTGTGGTGGTCTTCCAGGCCCTTAGAGACTAAGCGACTAGCTTTGCTACGCCGCTAGCCCGCGCTGCCAACTGCGATAACGATATGGTTACATACTCCAAACTGACACCACTATCCGACTTCCTAAAAGCCCTCAGGGAGCGATTTTCTGATGTCACGCAGTGCCTTAAGGCCTCAGACAAACTCCAAATGATCCACACTCGCCAATGGAAGAGTGTGCATGTGCTAAAGTCCGCTATGGACTAACTGATTGCGGTCCCTGAGCATGGAGTCACTGATGTGCAACTCCTTAACCTCTTCTACTGTGCCCTGCCTGAAAATACTCAGGGACATTTCTTCGAGAAGAAGAATCAGCAGGGCATTTGCCACCCAAGCGTCGCCAGTTACCACGTTCTGGCACAAGGATCTGTCTAAGCGAAAACGTGGAACGGACGCACCATCTCAGGCCAAATCAAGGCCAAAGATAGTCTGATCTTATCGATGGAGGAAGGAGGTGCACAGGAGGTTCCCCACTCTTACATCGAGTGGGGACTAGAGGAGGAGGACAACAGCACAGGCAAGGGGAGAACCTACGCTGCTATCGCGGCTGGAGGGAGGTCGCAAGGAGGACAACGGTCCGACCCAAGTGGTCGGGCCCAGGGTGGCCGAGGGCAGGGCGGCCAAGGGGTTGGCGGCAATGGCAACCGCCAAGCGGGAGGAACGGGAGGTCCCCCGTCTAACCGTCCGAGTTCTAGTCGCTCACCCCCCAGACAGGGAAGGTGGTATCCAGGCCGGCCTGAAGGCCGACCTTGGTTAGACCTGGGTAAAGATCAAAAGGTATGGCAAGAACGCATTAGTAGTTCTCAATGCATATTCTGTGGGGACCTAGGGCACATTATCAAATTTTGTCCTAAGTATAGGGACCGTTGCATCTGGGGCAGCAAAAGACAGCCGTTGGTAGGGGTCGCAACTGCCCCAAACTCAGGAGTATGTGGATCTGAGCGTGCCAGCGAAGTAGAGTCTCCCACTCCACATATTCCCATGGCATAGGTTGCAGGCCAGCGTCTAGTAAGTTGTCCAAAGATCGCTTGTGTTAGGGTCTCTTTAGGCGCTTCCCTCATAGGCTTAGCCAATGAACTGAGAGAGAGGAGGCAAGCCTGGGCCAAGATGAAGAAGGACAGTAAAGGACAACTGATCCTCGCAGATGTAGAGATATTTAGAGCTAGAGTAGGAGCCCTCAGGCGGGGTGACTAGGAGCTATATTAGTCGTAAAGCGCTAGGGAAGTTGAAGTTGAACCTAAAGGTCCAGAGACTAGAAGAGCCTGTAGTCAGCATCCTCACAGACAATAGCAGGATGCGCGTCGAAGAGTATGTTGAGGGGGTCCACGCCTACTTCTGCCTGGAGAAAGATGGCAAGGCAGAGAAGGTACTGCACTCCCTGACCCTCCTTGTAGAAGAGAGTCTCCCGTTTGACATAGTTCTAGGCACAGATTGGGGAGAGGCAGCAGGAGCCACACCTCACCTCAGAGAGCATGAGTGTAGGCTCCCTAGTGCGTCAGGCGAAGTCAAGAAAGTCTGCCTGTTCCATGAGTCCGGGGTCGATATAATCCCCTTGCCCATTGCTGCCTCAGTGCTCCTGCATTCGCCAGGCTTGTGCGAAAGGAGCTGCTTGAAGAGCAGGTGTTCGTGACCTATATTAGGCCGGTGTCCGATCAGCCTAAGGAGGAAGAAAAGACCAATCCTCCTATTGCCAGTCTGCTGGAAGAATATAAGGATCTATCTGAACCACCTTCAGGGGTGGTGCCCAGACCGATCCAACACCAAATAAAAATAGAACCTGGCAGTGGAACGCCAAAGGGGGCAGTCTACAGGATGTCTCCCAAAGAGTTAGAGGAGCTACGCAGACAGTTAGATGATCTCCTAGAAAAAGGATGGACTGGGTCTAGTTCATCGCCGTTCGGCGCACCTGTTCTGTTTGTCCCAAAGGAGGGAGAGTTGCGCATGTGTATTGACTACAGGGGACTGAACGCCATCACGATTAAGAATGCTGAGCCATTACCGCGTATAGATGATTTGCTAGACTGAGTTCAAGGGTGCAAATATTTCCCGAAGATAGATCTAAAATCAGGGTACCATCAGATAGAGGTGCACCCTGACGATCAGTATAAGACGGCGTTCAGGACAAGGTATGGGCATTACAAGTTCATACTGATGCCATTTGGACTTACTAATGCACCCGCAACATTTCAACGTTGTATGAACGACTTGTTTAGACCCTGGCTAGATAGGTTCGTCGTAGTTTACCTAGACGATATCCTAGTGTTCAGCACCCCACCCTCGAGGAACATGAGGGCCATCTACGACAGATTTTAAGTAAGCTCAGAGAGTCTAACTTTAAGATTAACCCGAAGAAGTGTGAATGGGCCAAGACACAGGTCCTTTACCTAGGCCATGTACTAGACGGCGATGGCATTCGGCCTGAGGACAACAAGATAGCATCCATCAGAGATTGGCCAACTCCTAAGACACTAACAGAGTTGCGTTCTTTCTTAGGACTGGCTAACTACTACAGGAAGTTCGTGAGGAACGTCTCTACGATCGCTGCTCCCCTTCGTAGACTACTGAAGAAATAAGCTATCTGGAAGTGGGATTAGGATTGTACGTCAACCTTCAAGAAATTGAAGAAGGCTTTGATAGAGTACCCTGTCTTCAAAGTTGTCGATCCATCATTGCCATTTGTTGTTACTACAAACGCGAGTCAGTATGGCATAGGTGATGTTCTACAACAAGATTACGGCAACAGCTATAGGCCCGTAGAGTTCATGTCAGCCAGACTGCCTTCAGAGAAAGTCGCTGTCGACATACGAGAGGGAACTCCACGCTCTTAGGCAGGCTCTAGAGCACTGGAAACACTTCCTGCTTGGGAGGCACTTCAAGGTTTATTTAGACCACGAGACTCTTAGATGGCTAAGGACATAGGCCAAGATGACGCCCAAGTTGACCAGATGGGCTGCTAAGATAGACTTGTATGTTAAAACCCGTTAAAGGCAAGTACAACGTGGTAGCTGATGCGCTAAGTAGGAGATCTGATTATTTCGGCGCGATAGTACACTATCTAGACATAGGGGCTGATCTGCAGCAGAAAGTAAGAGATGCCTATGCACATGATCCAATCTACAGTGAGCTGCTGAAAAGAGTAAGGGAAGCCCCAAATAGTGAGCCACACTACCGGAGCACGAATGGGCTATTGTTTGAAAAGACTAATGTCGCTGACAGGCTATGCATCCCCAATAGTGAAGAGATCCGTAGTCTGATCTTAGGGGAATGCCACGATACAGAAGGGCACTTTGGATGGCAGAAGACTTTAGCTATCCTGATGATGTCCTATACGTGGCCAGGCATGGAAGCAGACTGCATAAAATATGTGCGCAGTTGCAAAGTGTGTCGGTGTAATAAAGCTACGACTAGAGCCCCTCTAGGTCTTCTTAGACCCTTGCCTATTCCCTCAGGACCCGGAGATTCAGTGTCCATTGACTTCATGGATACTGGGGTCAAAAGCAAACATGGAAGCGAGCATGGTCATAGTACAGATTTAGTAAGTATGCAGTATTTGTTCCCTTGCCTTCAGAGCCCCGTACAGAGTTAGTTATAAGGAAGTTCTTTGATTTCTGGGTAAGCGAGCATGGTATGCCATTGTCCATAGTAAGTGATAGGGACACCCGGTTTACCAGCCAAAACTGGCAAGATCTTATGAAAGTATGCGGGTCTAAGTTGTTGATGTCGTAAGGACGACACCTCGAGACTAACGGTCAGACAGAACAGATGAATAAGTTCTTGCAACAGCTACTCAGAATGTACATTGCACCAGATCAGCTAGATTGGGACGAGTTGCTTCCCAAATAGCAAACGCCTACAACAAGAGCGTTCACTTAAATACTTGTCGGACTCCTAATGAGCTACATAAATCTTTTAAACCTAGGCGACCACTAGAAGGACTAAATCGGGACCAGATCCAGAGACTTCCACCCGGTACTCGAGAGTTCGCGGTTCCTCATGAGCAAGAGATTGTTGAGGTCACAGACAACCTGAGGAAGGCCCAGGACCGCATGATAGAGCAGGCTAACAAGCACCGCCGACCTTCACAGTTTCATGTAGGTGACCTAGTCTGGGTCAAGTCAAAGGAGTTCGCACCAGAGGAAAACATCTCGCAGAAGCTCTCACCTGCATATAGAGGACCGTGGCCTGTCCTAGAAGTCAAAGGAGGAGGGGACGACCCGTCGTATACGATGGAGATCCCAACACACCTCCACACGTACCCAATCTTCCACGCCTCTAAGTCGTTACCTTGCACCACGTCTGACAGGTTCCCTTCCAGAAGTTCGATGATTCCTCCAAACATGGATGGCGCGTATGATATAGAGCGCATTGTGGAAGAGGACGTGTTTAGGACAGGAGGCCGAGGTCGTTCCAAGAAACAGTACAAAGTTAGGTTCGCATACCAGGAACCCGAGGACAACCGGTGGTTTACAAGAACAGAGCTTTTAGAAACCGCTCCTGACATAGTACACGCCTACAAGAGGGAAAGAAAAGGTAAAGGTCTTGCCTTGAGTTAGAGTCTTCTCGGAGGACCTCGAATTTAGGACGGCGGGAGGGAAACGGTTTCACCCGGTTGACCTGGTACTGCAGTCATAGAGATTCGATCCCTAGACCTATGCCCTAACCCTGT